GCTACTCTTGTTATGTCTATTTCTTTTCACTGCTCCTGCTGTCCGCGCGGTGGTCTATTATGTAGATGCCGGCAGGCCCAGTAATACCGGCAACGGCCGCAGCTGGGCAACAGCCAAAAAAGACATTCAGGATGCCATCAATGCAGCGGCGGCCGGGGATGAAATATGGGTAAAGGCGGGAACTTACCGGCCGACACTGGCTATGGATGGTCTCTGGACAGCTACACCGGCATACAGGGCGTTTTCCCTTATTTACAATGACGTGAAGCTTTATGGCGGATTTGCGGGAACGGAAACACTGGCGGCCCAGCGCAATGCGAGCCTGTACGTTACCATTTTAAGCGGCGACCTGGACGGCAACGCAGGGACTAACGATGCCTTTCACGTGCTGGTCACTAACCAACGGACAGCTGCCTGCGTGATAGACGGGTTTACTATTACCGGCGGGCGGGCCGATAGCAGCGGCTATTTCCTATTTTACCCTAACGGAACTGCGCATCAATACGCCTCGTTTGACGACTATAATGGAGCAGGGATCTACAACTATAAAAGCAGTCCAACGATCAGTAACTGCATTATCCGTAACAATTCAGCTAATAACCATGGCGCCGGGATGTACAACAACGAGTGTCGCTCTTATGTATATAACTGCAGTTTTATGTACAATATAAGTGCGATTGGCATGGGCGGTGGGATAAGCAATTATAACGAAGCCACCAGCGTGACCTTGTCGGCGGTAAATTGCACATTCAGCAACAACGTTGGTAACGGGATAGAAAACCTCCTTGGGTCCATGGTGGTGAGTAACTGTACCTTCAATAATAATAACTCAGATGAGCGCGGTGCAGGAATATTTTACAATGGCAATGGCAATAACCTGACGGTGACTGATTGCAGCTTTAGCAACAATTTTACGAATACCCGTGGTGGGGGTGCGGTGAATGTGAATGAACAGGCAAACGGCAGTGTGGCGATGAGTGGCTGCACCTTTAACAATAACACTGCCCAATATAGCGGCGGAGCTTTGTTAATTGAAAAATGCCCGACTGTTACAATCAGTGACTGCAGCTTTAGCAGCAATATATCGAGAGTAGGTTATGGAGGAGCGCTGCTTATAGACAACCTTCTTTCTGCTTATCCTCGTAATACCACGATCAACAACTGCACCTTTAGCAGTAATACTGCAGGTATGTCCGGTGGAGGTATTTATAATTATGTAAATAACATAAGCTTGAGTGGTTGCGTATTCAATAATAATATAGCTGGCAATACCGGTGGTGGTATTTCTGGCGAGCGGGCTGGTATAGTATCTGTGAGCAATTCTATCTTTACCCACAATGTAGCATCTGGCGGTGGGGGTATTTACAGAGAGGGAGGGACCGATGTGTTTTCACTAAACAGTTGCACTTTCAGCGCTAACACAGCAACAGGGAACGGCGGGGGAATTTACAATCAGGGGACCGCCAGCATTACCAATTGCATTTTAAGTGGC